ACATGACATGGCCGGAGATCATGTGACCTGACAGCCCGTGACAGTGTGTGACATGACATGGCCGGAGATCATGTGACCTGACAGCCCGTGACAGTGTGTGACATGACATGGCCGGAGATCATGTGACCTGACAGCCCGTGACAGTGTGTGACATGACATGGCCGGAGATCATGTGACCTGACAGCCCGTGGCAGTGTGTGACATGACATGGCCGGAGATCATGTGACCTGACACCCCGTTGCAGTGTGTGACATGACATGGCCGGAGATCATGTGACCTGACAGCCCGTGACAGTGTGTGACATGACATGGCCGGAGATCATGTGACCTGACAGCCCGTGACAGTGTGTGACATGACATGGCCGGAGATCATGTGACCTGACAGCCCGTGACAGTGTGTGACATGACATGGCCGGATATCATGTGACCTGACAGCCCGTGACAGTGTGTGACATGACAGGGCCGGAGATCATGTGACCTGACAGCCCGTGACAGTGTGTGACATGACAGGGCCGGAGATCATGTGACCTGACAGCCCGTGACAGTGTGTGACATGACAGGGCCGGAGATCATGTGACCTGACAGCCCGTGACAGTGTGTGACATTACTGGAGATTGCGTGACACGACCCGATAATGTTTCACAGTCGAGTAGCATGCAACATACCAACATATCACTCGGTGACTTCGTTCACATCATCAATATTTATTTAACTGCGGCTGTTTTAATCTGCAAAATTTCACGTTTTATCCATCATCATGCTTAATGCCCCGCGCTATACATAGCAATTACTCAAATAAGTTAAAGGCTTTAAATCTAAACGCATGTAATAACACATTATTTATTCACTGAAACGTGTGCAAGTTTCTTTCATAATGACAAAAACGCATTAGCCCTGAACCAAATCAAAATGACCTCATGAAATATTGCAGCGACAACATGGCAAGTGACTCTTAACAGTTCTTTCAGAGCGTTCCTGTAACGTATGGTGTTTTTCATCGACATCTATTGAATGTTACAAAACGACACTTTAATAGAATGCGACAAAGTGCATTAAAATAATCGATGGTTTCAAGCAGACACACAATGGCGGATTATTTTTAGTTTACCTCAACTTATCCTCCTGTACTGGAGGTGAGAAATGACGTTCCCAATAGTAATTGACGAACTGTCCGTCATGTAGGCATCTCATCAATATCAACACCCACACGGTAACATTTTTTTTGACAATTTAAAAGTGAAAATCGGCCTCAAACTAAACTTTTCATATCATGTTTTCAGATCAAAATGTATTCAGGAATAGACACCAAAACAGTATCCAACTTTACGCTAAATATGTAAAATGTGGTATAGACAGACACGCTAGATACCGTATTTGCTCCAGAACGTATTAACATCGAGGGTGCGGTGGAGTAGCCCAGTGGTTAAAGCGTTCGCTCCTCCTGCCGAAGACCCGGGTTCGATTCCCATTTGGATACATTGTGTGAAGCTCATTTTTGGTGTCACCGCCGTGATATTACTGGAAGATTGCTAAAAGAGGTGTAAAACCATACTTAAATTCTCACAAAAAACATAGAGTACGGGGTATGGCGAGAAATGAGCTAGTATTCACGTCATATTGTTCCAACCCGCATCCATTAAAAGATTTCCATTCATTTCCTCACATTACCAGGCAATGTAGATTACAGATATTATTATGGAAACTACATTATTCTCCGAGTGACCAGTCAGTGTCGCCTAAAGTCCGTTGCACATATGTCGGAGCGATACGATGGCGACTTGAAGCCTTGTTTTACGACCTGACTGGCATTTTGTCTATTCGCTCAGTGCGGATGGGACACCTGTCTGGAAACAATGACTTTTCAACCTGTTTCCAACGCCGATTCAAACATTCAAGGACGGAGCATATGCCACATTTTATAATTCAGCTGTGACAAATATTGGACATTCGTGAGTGCATTGACTTTTAAAATAGGAGCATTATTATTGTATAGTGCTGCTGCTACATGTATTGGACACATTGTATAACACATTTTGACCAATTGTATTGCCTTTTATGACGATAAACCATGTCCTGTGTTGTTCAATAAAATTGGCTGATTGTTTATTGATCTTGTGTGTCTAATTACTGATTTCACAGTTTAGTTCTGTATTTACCGATTTTCTTGGTTAGCCTTCGCGTTTCAATTTGCGAATCAACACGTAACAATGGTAGAGCCTCGAAAGACTCAATACTAGGCGTAGTAAATTACAAACCCCCAGATTCAATACTAGGTATAGTAAATTACAAACCCTCCGATTCAATTCTAGGTATAGTAAATTACAAACCCTCCGATTCAATTCTAGGTAAAGTAGATCTAATACCCTCAGATTCAATACTAGGTATAGTAGATCTCATACCCTCAGATTCAATACTAGGTATAGTAGATTACAAACCCTCAGATTCAGTACTAGGTATAGTAGATCTAATACTCTCAGATTCAATACTAGGTATAGTAGATCTCATACCCTCACATTCAATACTAGGTATAGTAGATCTCATACCCTCACATTCAGTACTAGGTATAGTAGATCTAATACTCTCAGATTCAGTACTAGGTATAGTAGATCTAATACTATCAGATTCAATACTAGGTATAGTAGATCTCATACCCTCACATTCAATACTAGGTATAGTAGATTACAAACCCTCAGATTCAATACTAGGTAAAGACGATCTAATACCCTCAGATTCAATACTAGGTATAGTAGATCTCATACCCTCACATTCAATACCAGGTATAGTAGATCTCATACCCTCAGATTCAATACTAGGCGTAGTAAATTACAAACCCTCCGGTTCAATTCTAGGTATAGTAGATCTCATACCCTCACATTCAATACTAGGTATAGTAGATCTCATACCCTCACATTCAATACTAGGTATAGTAGATCTCATACCCTCACATTCAATACTAGGTATAGTAGATCTAATACCCTCAGATTCAATACTAGGTATAGTAGATTACAAACCCTAAGAATCCAATACTAGGTATAGTAGATCTCATACCCTCAGATTCAATACTAGGCATTGTAAATTACAAACCCACAGATTCAATACTAGGCAAAGTAGATTGCACACCCTCAAATTCAATACTAGATATCGCAGATTACAAGTCCTCGGATTCAATACTAGACACGGTAGTTACAAACCCTCAGATTCAATACTTGGTATAGTGGATCACAAGTCCTCAGAATCAATACTAGGTGTAGTAGAGTACAAGTCCTCAGATTCAATACTAGGTGTAGTAGAGTACATGTCCACAGATTCAATACTAGGTATAGTAGATTACAAGTCTACAGATTCAATATTAGATATAGCAGTTAACAAACCTTCTGATTCAGTACTTGACATAGTAGATTACATACACTCAAGATTCAAGAATAGGCACCGAAGATTAAATAACCTGGGATTAAAGAATAAGCAAAGTAGATTAAATAACCTGGGATTAAAGAATAAGCACAGTAGATAAAAAACCCTGGGATTAAAGAATAAGCACAGTAGATTACAGAACCTGGGATTAAAGAATAAGCAAAGTAGATTTAATAACCTGGGATTAAAGAATGAGCACAGTAGATGACATAACCTGGGATTCAAGAATAAGCACAGTAGATGACAGAACCTGGGACTCAAGAATAAGCGCAGTAGATGACAAGGCCACAGATTCAATACTGAACACAGCATCAACACACAGTCTGATTCAACACATGACTCTCGACGGTGTCACACACTGTGGTATTTCATGTTGCCATCCACGGCATTCTCAATCATTCACTCATTCAAACGACGAAACATTACCCTCAAGGGACTTTCAAGATTTTTAGAAAGACGTGACAAGTTTTAATCTAAACCCGACATGGATGGACATGTGTATGAAATAAACATAGACTAATCAACTAATCAAAAGACAGTTTACATCCATGTAGATCTAGAATAATACATTCAATACAACTGGCCTTTTCTAGTGTGTCGGCTGAATATGTAATGAGTGTCGAAAGTAGCACATATCGCAAGTGTTGAAACACCCACGAGGATTCATATAGTGCTGACAGACGTAACAGGATAGTCGGGGCGACTCTGGAACTAGAACTCACGAACAGCGGATCCTGGAGCGGCAAAGGGCCACATCATGCACAAAGAGACGTACCACATGGCCATTCTTAATGCCGATACGATTCTCTGATCTACCAATATATTTCCAACAAAAACGCCAGTGATGATGGTAATGTTACTAAGTTCTAAGATTCCTGATTCCTTCCATAGTACTATTTGATCGTGATCAACTACTTCAGGAGTGACCAGATTTCTCGACACAATTTGCATGATAAAGAGTGATTGAGTGAGTGAGTTGGGTTTAACGCCGCTTTTAACAGTATTCCAGTTATATCACGGCGTGTCAGCTTCATGTGGGAGGAAAGCCCGAAGTGATGCAGGTCTCAGACGTTTACCACTTCGGTGAAACCCACGAGCACGGGTATGGTGCTAACAAACCTAGAAACATAATCGGGGCGAACCGGGATTCGAACCCACAATCATAGGTTTCTGGCGTGCCCTAGGGACGCAACTCTGCAGTGCGAATCGCGGCGCCTTAGACGACTGTGCCACCCGTGCCCCCCGCATGATAAAGAGGAAGAGAGTTTGTCAGAACGCCGCTTTTAACAGTATCCCAGTTATATCACGGCGTGTCAGCTTTATGTGGGAGGAAAGCCCGAAGTGATGCAGGTCTGACGTTTACCACTTTGATGAAACCCACGAGCACGGGAAGTGAGCTGACAAATCTAGAAACTTAATCGGGGCAAACCGAGATTCGAACCCACAATCATAGGATTCTGGCATTCCCAAGGGAAGCAACTCTGTACAGCGATTGGCAGTTCTGAAGACGACTGAACCACTCATGCCACCTTGCATGACCAGGAAGCTACACAAAAATAACATTTAGCTATTAACCTTAAGTTGACTTACCTATATACAGGGTTATGGTGAAATCTTTCCTTAGGAATACGCTTAGGATAGCATCCATGCTTCTGTCTCTGAGTGTGCTCCTTGATTACATGGGTATGTTCCTCGAACGCCGTACCAATGAATGAAATGCTATCCTGGAGTAATTCGCTCATGCAGAACTCGTTATTCATAAGGAAAGCTAAAGCTCCGGGCGGGTAGCTCCGAATGATGTCATCATCCAGTGTGTATGCATTCTCCGTAATAATCCATGCGAATTCTTGCTCACCTAACGACAGCTTCCTAGCTGCGCGAAATATCCTCCCGGCAAGCACAATGCCTGTGTGAAGCACAAATATCCTTGACGTATTGCCTCGAAGTGATGACAAGAAGTTTTCTATTTGCCTGCTCGTGTTCCGGGCTGGCGACATCCTATACACCTCCACATGCCACTTCTTCTCTTGAGTCTTCTCCCTCAGCACAGTATAGAATCCGTCGTCGGCGAGGTCTGATTCCAAGAGGAAGGTGAACCGGTACCAGTAGTTCACTTGCATCATCTTGACAAGGCCCGAGGCCAGGTGGGTCTTGGACGGCAGCAGGTTCAGGTAGAGACTGCTGTGAATCTGCAACATCAACCACAGTGACGTAGTATATTGTTCACGACTGAACAGAATACACATGTTTCAGTATAACCGTATTTCTAACAGTATTTAGTCCAAAGATGAGCTGTAGAATTTACTCAACTGGTTGCAGTATTTGTATATTGTATTTCAAATATTTTCAAGTGTGTGCAGAGTTTATATTAAGCGTTGAACATGTTCTATAACACGTGCTTCCAAAACGCCAAGAATATAGCACGTGTTTCTAACGCACCAAGCAGAATATAACAAGTTTTTCTTACACACCAAATAGAATATAACACGTGTTTCTAACGCACCAAGTTGAATATAATACGTGTTTCTTACGCACCAAGTAGAATATAACACGTGTTTCTAACACACCAAGCAGAATGTAACACGTGTTTCTTACACACCAAGCAGAATATAACACGTGTTTCTTACCCACCAAGCAGAATATAACACGTGTTTCTTACCAACCAAGCAGAATATAACACGTGTTTCTTACACACCAAGCAGAATATAACACGTGTTTCTTACCCACCAAGCAGAATATAACACGTGTTTCTTACCAACCAAGCAGAATGTAACACATGTTTCTTACACACCAAGCAGAATATAACACGTGTTTCTTACACACCAAGCAGAATGTAACACGTGTTTCTTACACACCAAGCAGAATATAACACGTGTTTCTTACACACCAAGCAAAATGTAAAACGTGTTTCTTACACACCAAGAAGAATATAACACGTGTTTCTTACGCACCAAGCAGAATATAACACGTGTTTCTTACACACCAAGCAGAATATAACACGTGTTTCTTACCCGCCAAGCAGAATGTAACACGTGTTTCTTACCCACCAAGCAGAATATAACACGTGTTTCTTACACACCAAGCTGAATGTAACACGTGTTTCGTACACACCAAGCAGAATATAACACGTGTTTCTTACACACCAAGCAGAATGTAAAACGTGTTTCTTACACACCAAGCAAAATGTAAAACGTGTTTCTTACACACCAAGAAGAATATAACACGTGTTTCTAACGCACCAAGCAGAATATTACACGTGTTTCTTACACACCAAGCAGAATATAACACGTGTTTCTTACCCGCCAAGCAGAATGTAACACGTGTTTCTTACCCACCAAGCAGAATATAACACGTGTTTCTTACACACCAAGCTGAATGTAACACGTGTTTCGTACACACCAAGCAGAATATAACACGTGTTTCTTACACACCAAGCAGAATGTAAAACGTGTTTCTTACACACCAAGCAGAATATAACACGTGTTTCTTACACACCAAGCAGAATGTAACACGTGTTTCTTACGCATCAAGCAGAATATAACACGTGTTTCTTACGCATCAAGCAGAATATAATAACGTGTTTCTTATGCACCAAACAGAATATAACACGTGTTTCTTACCCACCAAGCAGAATATAACACGTGTTTCTTACACACCAAGCAGAACGTAAAACGTGTTTCTTACCCACCAAGCAGAATATAACACGTGTTTCTAACGCACCAAGCAGAATATAACACGTGTTTCTTACACACCAAGCAGAATGTAACACGTGTTTCTTACACACCAAGCAGAATATAACACGTGTTTCTTACACACCAAGCAGAATGTAAAACGTGTTTCTTACACACCAAGCAGAATATAACACGTGTTTCTTACGCATCAAGCAGAATATAATAACGTGTTTCTTATGCACCAAACGGATTGAATATAACACGTGTTTCGTCCACACCAAGCAGAATATGACACTTTTGTATGCACTAAGCAGGATATAACACGTACTTCAAACGCACCAAGCAGTATAACAGTTAAGCGTCTAAGACCTGCATCACTTCGGGTTTTTCTCCCTCATTAAGCTGACACGCCGTGATATAACTAAAACCATTTCCGGTTGTTTAAACAACCAACACAATATTACGATTGTTTTCAAATGTAGTTTGTCCAATCAAAGGAATTGCAGAAGGCGGACTTGGTAGCAGATGGTGTAAACTACGTATAGCTGCCAAGAAGCATCATAGTGCAACACTTTGTATCTATATTGTTGACAATAACAACCTTCGTCATTCAATGAGATAGGCCCAAAAGTATCGTTAACAACCTGCTATGAATTGGGGTCACAACTGTCAAATCACTGTGGATGTTCTCGAAGCGTAAAACCTACTGGATCATAACGAGAACATGATCCAGTCGAATGTCTTTCAGAGTGTGATCAGTCATTATGTGATGTTGTCATTGGTAGATTGCACAGAGTGAAAAAGAATATTATTAAACAGAATTGGAATAAAAATAGTCTGTCACAGACAGCTGTCGTCCAAGTTCTGGCTGTCCTGCATGACACGCTTATAGTTGCTCCCCCTGGCGAGCCCACAGATCACATAACCATTAGTATTACTACATTAATTGTTTGATCAAAGAACTTGGTGACATATCAAATAATGCCACATATGTGGACATTATGCTAATCGAGGTATATGCCCAAACCACTCATCAGTATCGACGTAAGACTTGAATTCAAAAGCTTAAGGGATTTGTACATTTCTCTTTTTGCACTGGATTCAAAAGCTACAGACAATTTTCAACAGAGATATATCTTGCAAATGTTCCACCAAATCACTGCCTCAAATATCAACCATTATCCTCCATACAATCAAGGAATGTCTTGCAGTGGAATTTATGTCATGTGGATTCTCAAATCATCAAAGGATATGCTTGAATTTTAGCAGAACCAAGTTCAAATCTGTTGAAACGTCTGACTTTTCCTTGAAATTTACCATGTTACAATTAATGCATATATGTATGTGCAAGTATATGGTCCGTGAATAAACTCAATCACAATTGTTACGAAACTTTTTTTCTTTTCTTTTTTATATTTTTTTATTCAATTCAATATATGATATTACAGAGATATACATTGAGAAATTGTTACGAAGCTAGTTTCATATCTTGTATTGCTGGTGGACAGGTAAATGTTTTAAAAAGCACCATTCACAGCGAAAAGCTGATTTCGACTTTCAAGCTCATCCCAGGAAATTAATTTACAAAATGTAACCTTAACCCAATAGAGGATATCAAAACCAATGTTTAGATGCATTTCCTTGGGGGGTATCTAAATTTGGACTTCGATCGATAAAACAAACACAGTAACACAAATTAACTCCAAGTCATGGGAACGAGCGGACATACATCGAGATATCTGAAGTTCGGGACAAGAGGACTGTCGTTGTTAGAGCCTATACATATTCTTACAGTCTTTTAAGTGGCATAGTCTGGAAAGATGTGAATGGTGTTCCATTTTGAGAAGTTCACTCTACTTCATCAATGTATTGTCACTGTAGAGCATCCCGTGAAGATGCGGGTTAGAATCAGTCTTCAGCAACCTATGCTTGTCTTAAGAGACTGCTAACGAGATCGATTGGTCAGGCGAATCCCAATTGCGCCACATCCCACCGTTACAATGCTCAAGATGTCAATCACTGGATTGTCTTATTCAAACTCGATTGTTTACAGACAGACTCCGTGCAGCTGAAACATTGCTGACTGAAAGTTAAACAACAAACAAACAAAGACTGCAGAGCATAACTTCAAGGTAAACAGGGTTTGGGACACTGGACAACCTGTCGATTAAACTCATTGACCTCATTCTGATTAAAAGCATTCTGATAACCTTTGGAGTTTTCATTTCCGATTGGCGAGGCTGGGGTGTGTATTTTACACAGTAAATATGTCTTTTTTCATTGAATTGTCAATGACCTTTCTACCAGTATTACAGCAGGGTGACGGTCACGCTAGCAGCTACAATATCCCGCATAACAGCAGCTCAGAGAAGTCTGCTTCATACAATGATCTATCCTTGCACAGTTGTGTAGCTGGTGGTGGTGATTTGTTCCACAGACAAAGCTACTTTCTAACACGCCTACACTATGGTCTTCAGCCCACTCCAACACCGACACGTCTCTTGCCCACTCGTACACCAACAATAACCTCTAACCTACACCTACACCAACAATAACCTCTAACCTACACCTACACCAACAATAACCTCTAACCTACACCTACACCAACAATAACCTCTAACCAACACCTACACCAACAATAACCTCTAACCTACACCTACACCAACAATAACCTCTGACCTACACCTACACCAACAATAACCTCTAACCTACACCTACACCAACAATAACCTCTAACCTACACCTACACCAACAATAACCTCTAACCTACACCTACACCAACAATAACCTCTAACCTACACCTACACCAACAATAACCTCTAACCTACACCTACACCAACAATAACCTCTAACCTACACCTACACCAACAATAACCTCTAACCTACACCTACACCAACAATAATCATTCGTCACCACTCGCCCCTTTCCGTAACCTGCAAGAAGACTCGTCCCCCTATCGATGAAGGTTATGTGCGAAAATACGACTAACCAATCAGAATGCGCGTTTGATTTCAAGTTGTTTATCAAAGAATCCCTAAGAAATAATTTTTGATTTTACATGTCTTGCATCTAAAAATATACCCAAGACACAGTTAAATGTGTTCAATCATACTGTATAATTCCGCATATCCAGATGTGCTTTAAATTGCATCTGAAATATATATATCATATATGGGGAAATATATGTGAACCATTACGCAACGAGTTGACAATTGTTTTAGGTATGCCCGTTTGCGCTAAGACGGAACCAGGGCACGAGTCGCTATTCGGCTTGTCCCGGAATAACACGAGTTGGTCAAGAATGCAACAATAATCTCTAACCTACACCTACACCAAAAATAGTCTTTAACCTACTCAAACACCGACAATAATCTCTCGCCTACACCAAGAGAGACAATAGTCTCTAACCCACTCCTACACCGACAATAGTCTCTAACCCACTCCAACATCGACAATAGTCTTTAACCCACTCCAACCACGACAATAGTCTCTTACCTACACCTACACCAACAATAAT